GGTCTAACAAGTATTACCTTCTGAACTAACTTTGGAGTTTACTAAATTGTGGTGGACAGTACCGAAGAGATAACATACAAGCAACCCATTGTTATCCATAACATTGATACTACTGTGGGGGTGCGTGTTACAATTCCGTTATATCTGATCAACCCTACTTAACTCGATGTGCTCTAGTACCTGATCAACCAGTACTTTACTTAACGTGTAAGTACTGATAACAAAACACAAATCAAAAGAACTGATACGGAATATATTTGGTGGAGCGATGTATTTAGTTAAGGTAAATGTAATAATAATGAATGGGGGAAAAGTTTAATCAACTTATCTGGCTTGTAAGGCTGAACTAAGGACTCTGAGTACGTGCGTGGTAACCAGCACTATGGGAGCGCAAAATGGCGTACAAGCCTGCTCGGATGTATGCTCGTTAAAACCAAACTTAAAAACACCCTAAGCATCCGGAGGCGAGCTAGAGGTTTATTCGGTTAATTTAATTTGATCTATTTATTTTAGCCCTAGTTGTATTTTGGTGCCAGGAAGGTGTACTACACTACTATTTTGTGTTATAACCATAACTTTTCATATTTATGTATCAGTGAATCTATTTTTTCCAAATTATACGTAGCTTAACATTTCGGTTTACTTTACATTTCTTTGAATCCACTACAAACTTATTATTATCCTGGTAATTAGCAACTTTATCACCTTTCCCAAAGTAATTTCAATACCTTTATTTTATCCTTATTCTCATCCATATTCATACTGACTATCGTTTCTTTAGTTATCGTATTTGTTTTCATTACGATAATTTTACCCCACTCATTCATCATCTTGTCAAGTCAACATTATCACATGATTACGTAGCCGCTTCTACTTATTTCCAATCTTATCTCGCTCATCTGTAAACATTCCTAACCTTGTCTTATATATAACACGTATCTAGCTTGATTTAATTTATTGTCCAAACCTCTTTTGTGTTTTGAACTGTGATGTTACTTCGAATCTCCAAAACATTAACTGGTATTATAGAATTCAGGATTAGAATTTGACCTGGTAGAGTTGGACAGGTTGAGCATTAGGTAAACTGATTTTAAATTAAAAAAATACATATAATCATAAAAACAAACAAATGGGGTAGCAACAAGTTCTTCGGTGTCCATTATCGTCCCAAACGTTTTCATGATCTTTGCCAACTCTATGAAACCACCCATTTGGCTCAGATATGATGATATATTTGTAATTTTAAAAAGATCAACCATCAGAACTTTTTCCAAGTTAATTAATACTGATTTCCTACATGTTAACTTCACATATAAATATGAAAATGCAAGTGGAGAACTACCATCTCTAGACTGTTTAGTTAGAAGGAATGGAAGTTTAAGTTTATCGATGTATCGCAAACGAACACATTCAAATCGATATCTCGATTTCAACTCAGCACATCCACTCAGTGCTTACTTAGGAGAGCCACAAAGCTCGAAAACAGACAAGCAGTAGTAGGGAACATAAAGGATCTGTTACATTGCAATAACTACCCTGAGAATATCGCTCAAAAGACTAAAAGCCATGAGCAGAAATCCAGGATAAAATAGAACAGTCATCCCGTATATTAAGAATAGTTTAAAAGGAAAAACTGAACTGCTGCATTTGCTTAGGATCGCGGTGTCACACAAACCAAAATATCCGCTACAACATATCCCATGCAAACCACACGACGCAGCCAACAAAGAAACGACCAACGATATCTACAAAGTCAACTGCAGGAACTGCGAAAAACTCTGAGTGAGACAGTCAGTTACACCAGTATTGCAACACAAGCTGGTTATCAAAGGTCGTCATATGAAGTCTTTTATTCTAAATACTGCGACAACCACACGTTTGACTGGTTCAACTTTGAAACGCATGAACGTGCTAATTCTAAAGCGGCCTGAGAATTCTTGGGAACTTGACACTTCAGAAAATCAGCAATGAACTTCCACATCTACATAGATGCAATACCTGAGACGATTCTCAAAACTAATCAATAACAGGAATTTACCGATTCAGATGCAAGGAAACCTTTAGCACAACCAAATGGGAAATCAATTAGATTAAAATTACTAGCCGAACACTTGTACTTAACCAATCAAAATAAAGGGGTCCTTCTCTCCAATAAAATTTAACCAACCCATAGGTAGCAAAGACCACCATTTTAGCCAGAGCAAATCGACCAGTTAACGTACAGTACCCTCCCCAGTGCATGCAATTCAACTAGTCAAGTTTCAACCGGTCACAATGAAGCTACCTCGACAGACTGCAAGCAAACAAAACAAGTTAGCAATCATACAGATGCAATTCCCAAGAGAAAACTAGACGTGAAAAGTCAACTAATCAGCATACGACGGTGCACCCAGTAGGCAAACAATCAGGTTAGATCCAAGAAAGGTTGCATGTTATAAATATCCATGAACAACCGATTACTTCACTCCTTTGTGAAGTTGTGATGGCGACAAAGCATGACATTGGAACGTTCACCAACTAAAACCTCAACTCGAAAGAAAATTAACGCAGAATTTTCCTATCCTGAGCTACAAATACTCGCTACAATTGCTGTACCACACAGTATTGTTTACTGATGCCATTTCTGGGGGAATTTATGAGTCATAATCATGTCACAGCAATTGCAACTTTCTGATTCAGTTTTTATGGTCCTATTGCTTTATGATCTTAGATTTACTTGGTCGTAACATGTTACACATATCCAGTATTAGTGTTGCGTCATTCCTATTAGACTTGCCAAGTGTCAGTTGAATGAACAAAGCTTCAGTTATTGACCTATCTCTTCACCCTCGTAAGTTACTATTTAAAATAGATACTTTCTCATTCTGTTGCTTGATTGTACATGAAAGCAGGCATTGCCATGACTGAGCTCGTTTCTAGATTCATTATCTTGCTTGGATCTACTATTCTATATTTAGCTAAAATTCTGTGTTCCCCTAGCCTGACTGACACAGTTCTTCCAAATTCCATTATCAAAATAACCTTAATATAATGAATTTATCAGCTTTGTCTTATACTAACAAAACCATATGGCACTGAGTCCATTTGATAAACGTTTTTATACAATAGTCGTACAGAAACGTTGTTCAAAAGAGTGAAAACACACTGTAGTACATCAGCCTTGCAGAGAAAACTATTTGATGACTGTCTTCCAGAAGAACAGCTATTCATGGAACTTTATAAAAAGATGTTCACATAATTCGTCATCAACCAAGAAGTCAACCTCAGAAACTAACAAACAGATTGTCCTGCCCTACATCAATAACGTCTCCGAGATCACGGCCAGGTGATCACAGCCTCTTGGAATCGCTGTATCTTACAAGCTCAGTCTCTGTTATGCAGGGAAAAAGATACAATAGCAAAGGAACACAAATCGAATATTATCTACAAAATAAACTACCGAACCTGCGAAAATCACTACATCTGACTGAGGGGTCGCCCTCTTCGTATCCATCTATATGAACATCAACTAGCGCTGAAGGATAGTGACATATTTCCCGCTCATATCAATCCATGCAGACAACTTTGGACATGAATTTGACTTGGAAAATGTTAAAATCCTGGATAGAGGAAGTACAAAGAATTTTTAGAAGCCCGGTATTCAGGTCAGTCAGCAATCAATAGACATATTGACATTGACCTAATCTGCTAACCAATAAGAAACCACAAGATCAAATTTCAGGTCATCAAGACAGGCTACTGAATAAATTGTGGGGAAAACCTTATCGCTTTCTTCTTTCTGAAGTTTATGCTGATGATGTTGTCTGGAATGACAACAAGAGCCCCATGATTAAACAATCCAGCTCAGAGAACTCAACCCTATCAAAACAATTGATTCATTTTGATAACCTATTCCTATTACGGTTCAGTTGTAATCAGCAGTTCTGAAGCTGATGGATGATTCTTGTCGATAAGCACTGGGAAGGCGAAAATTCTTGTACTGAATGTGTTATCATCAGATTCATATTTCATTACATATCCAGCTGCAAATCGTAATGCGGTAACCGCCACCTACTTTCTTTCTCAATCTACGCAATGTAATCAGTAACTGCCTTTAGGAATTTTCGAATGTCTTTTACTAGTTGGTCCAATTCAACAACACAATACAAAATTTAACTGGAAAGGGCTTGAGAATCATAAAGTTCATCTATGTCAGTCATTTAGTTGCTCAATTTATTTTCCCTATACTATTTTTAGGCTTGGGTAGTGACAATTACCAGTCAATGGTAAATAAAATTATAATCCTTTTATATTGTTGAATTTTCTCACATTTTATCTCTTCGTACAAAGTTTTATTTTTACGAGGCTGACTGACAGTTTTCTACTTCTTCAGTTTGTTTTCGACGCCTGTGGAAAATTACTGCTGAGGATCCGAGTATGAAATTGATTATTAACCAATTACACAGCTGCGTCCACTGAGGACCCCCATTTCTTTCGTGCAACAAATATCCTCTCATTCGAATTCTCTATCTTTATGGACAAATATGTGAAGAATAAATTGCTATGTTTGAGTTATTCTACAGACAACTGTATTGTTGGGACTGTAGCCTTGACACCTATTGCAGAAGTATGCCACGATAGCTTTGCGTAGATATAGCAAGTGTGAAGTTACATAACTGAGGTAAACCTTTGCAAAAGCCTATTAACCTACAAATGCTTGAGTTGAAAAATTAGTCGTAAGATTAACGTACTATAAATTATAAATTACTACTCATCGTAGTTGTATGCATATGAGTTAGTGACAATTATTTTCCCTTTGAGAATAGTTACTGTCTCATAAATATTATTGAGTTGTAACTGATAGAGCAATTTCAACGGTAAACTTTCCCAGTAAGTTTACAGTTGGCTGTAAAGAAATATACAAAGGAACACTGATATAGATGACTAAAGAGTGCTGTGGTTTCATTTGAGATTATAATTCTTCATTGGTGCTCACCGCTGAACGGTTTCATTATCAAGTCCAAAAGCCAACATTCGGTGATCGGGTGACCTGGAGCAGAGTGATTTGTATCTTAAAGATCACTTAATTCCCAGCATAGTAAGACTACTTCAGTAAAGTCACTGCTAACTCAATGGATTCCACTGGTCAGTAATTACTATTACTGATAAGTGGGTCGAACGAACTAAGCCGGAAATCCACCAATCAAAATGTAATGTGTAAATTGCGTCTACAGTTAGACTGGCGGACGATCAAGTAATCAATACTATTATGTATATACTTAGATATATTCTCGTTTTGTTGATTACTTTGATGTGAATACATGTTTCTACTCGTCTCACTGTGTTTTCTCCATTAATTGATTGGGTCGGGAATCAACTAGGAAGTTGTAGAACGTTGGTGGCTGACGTGCATGGTTAGCGCCTACAGCAGTTTTGAAACCATAATAACTACCCAAGTTACATTTGTGAAAAAAAATAATGCCGTTTACTGTACTGAAACCCACTACTGTAGGTCCATGTTTGAAAGTTGTTCGGTAATCATCTGTCAAAATACGGAATGATTACATCAAAAGGTCGCAAGTCATCGGTAAGACATATCATTAGTTATAAAGTAAAATCGATCATAATATACAGATTAATGAAATAGCCGGTAATACAAATGATGAAATATTCTTTAAACAGCTTCATTAGACTGGTGACCTTGGTTCAGTGATAAAACGTTATGCAGCTTGCTTATTCGGTCAATCGATTCTGATACAGACAACAGTTGGATAAGTTCAACAACAGGGCTGCCCACCTAAACATTGCAATGGAAAAAAATAGTATAGCAGTAATAATAATAATGATTTTGAGAAAATATATTACATACATGAGTGATCAAATACAATTATCATCCATTTAGCTGTATGCTGTTTGATTTCCCGCTGTTCATTAGGTGAAATAGGTTAAATAATCTTTATCAGGTCATCATGGGGTGTTACCTAATGATTCATCCTTACTGAAGTATAGCGTTTGAAACGGAGAATGACAGTTTCAGACCCTACTAGGATACGGATACATCCGAATATTGTCACGCAGTTGTGGTTTATTTTCAACCAATGGCTCACAAAACTTGATTGTAGTTGTGGTCACCAAGGTTTGAGCATTCACATGAGAAAATTAGTAGCCAGTGTTAAAGTGATTCATCTTATATCTTTGATATGATACTTTGAGGTGATGCATACCGTATGAGTTAAAACACACAAAATATATATGACTAATTTATTTGAATGAGTAATAATTCTCCTCAAATAACAAGCAAATGAAGCAGAGAACAAACAATCATGTCCTGAGTACAATATTTTTTAAACACAAATTATTTCATAAGTGATCTTAGAAAAAATGAGGTGTTATTCATAGAAATAGACTTATTAATCCTTTTACCAATGGATAAATACGATCAAAAAGTGTTTTTTGTTTTGACGCATGTGTTGTGTACTGATTTAAACACAATTCAATGAAATATAGTGGAAAAAAAGGCAAACTAATAGCATGCCTTTTACATACAAGTAAGCAAAATGATGAATTCGAACAGTTACCTTACTTCAATTTACATAAGTGTGGCCATTAAGTTAACATAAGATGAATCCGAGTGGCCTTGAATAAAGTACATCAATTCTCTCGTGAAATATTATCAATTCCGTAGAGTTGACTCAGATGCTTGTATAGACCAGTAATACTTGAAATTTAATACAAATACCACTTGTTACAATTTACTTCTACCTAATGTTAACAATTTGAAACACAATGTGTTTTTATCAACAGTCAGAAGCTAAATCTCTTAGGTATTTAAAAAAGGAAGTGACAAAAGTAGTCTATAAGCTAACAAATCATTTCCTTCACTTGTTAACCTACAACATATAGATAAGATATACGTACAAACTGTTGCAGTCAGAGGCGAAAATTGCCTAAATGCATAGACACCGATATTCCAACCTCGAGTCTAGAGTCTATTGCACAAGTGAAAGAAAAGTATTCATTTTAATGAACCTTGCATAGTTCACTAACCGGTCCTAAGACAGAATAAACAGGGAAGGTTGGGCCCACGGGTAGCAAACCTACAACGAAAAACCAATCCAATCGCTAAAGAAACTTCAAAGCACAGACAAAATATAAAAAACAAAAATTAACTTATTCCTCGCTGGAATCGGGGAGACAAAATGACACCAGCTGGTGAAAGTCTTCAGGAAACCAATTGACCGATGTGTCTTCTCTTCTCTTGATTAAAACAAAAGTAAACATACGGACATGGAATGTCCGCACAATGTTTGAAGCTGACTGGCAAGTCTGCTCAGGTCGCAAAGGAAATGAGAAGATATAGCATAGAACTGCTAGGAATCTCCAAATGGATTACAAGTGGACTCTACAAACTGTCAATTACAGAGTCAATAATCTACTCCGATATTGTCACCCACACGAGAACACTGACTCTTGGAGTCACTATCATGGTGTCCCCAACAGCATCGAAGGTTCTCTCTCTCTCATACAGTGGGAACAAATCTCCTCCTGCAGGATCAGGATCATGACAGCAAGATGGATTCAACTCAAAAGGAAGGAATGTTACAATCATACAATCCCAATACTACGCAACTACAAATAATCCATATCGAGAGAAGAAGGAATTCTATAGACAACTGCAATCAGTAACAGATAGGAAGGATCCCACCCCCAGTCAGCGACATCGAAATTCATTGTAATGGGTGACATGAATGTCAAACTGAGACCAGACAACACAAAAAGAGAACTCATCCATCATGGGTCGAGAGACACTCGATGAAATGGTCAATCAGAACGGAGAACTGTTTGCAGACTTCTACACATTCAACGATTTGGTGATTGGAGGCGAGGCAGTGTGTACAAACACAAGGATATTCACAAGGCAGCGACATGCATTTCACCAGACACCAGACACACTAAAAATCAGATCGACTTCATCTCAATCTCAAGAAAGTGGAGACGCAGCCAGCTTACTGGACATTAAATCACATCACAAAGAGGAGCAGATGTGGGTTCACACCACTCACCATCTAGTTCAACGAACCTACCTTCGAAATCAAACTCAAAGCCTCCAGAGAAACTGGTAATAGTCCACAGTTCAAGTTCAACACCCAGAACACAAACTGAAGGACGAAACTACAAAGGACATCTTCACGTCAGCCATCAGGAAAAAAATGGAAAGCATCAAGCAACATCCCCCCAAGGAAACTTGCATGGAGGCACAATGGGACTCTGTGAAAGAGACGTGGAAAGAAACCTGCATAACCGTGTTAGTAAGAAAGAAGAAGCAAGACAAGCAATGGATCTCCATAGACACATGGAAGCTGATAGAGCACGGAGAGAAAGATGATGAAGCAGAAGATGAACCAGTGCAATGCAGGCAGGGATGAACAGCGAGAAGATAAACTGAATACAAACTATAAAACACTACACTGGACAAAGAAGTGAAAAAGAGTGCGCGCAAAGACAAAAGACACTTCTACAACACACTGACAAGTGAAGCATAACAGGCTCCAAGTAGGAGAGACCTGACATTGTATCAAATAACCAGGTTACTATCTGGGAGGGCAAAAATCAACACAGATGAAACTAATAAAAGATAATGAAGGAAACTTAGTTACCAAAGAGGAGAAACAAGGGAAACGATGGCCTGACCAATTCAATCGACAACCACAACCACCACCACCCCCAACTCGTCCAGAAATACCACCAGTAGCTCTGCCACAGAACTATCAGTGAACACAAAAAAAACCAACAAGAGCACAAGTGAAGTCCTGAACGCCATAAAGTTACTGAAAGACGGGAAAGCGGCAGGACCAGATCCAATTCCCCCAGAAACACTGAAAACAGACGCAGAGACAACAATGGATATGTTCCCACCACTATTGCGCTGGGCTCGGAAGGAAGGAAAAGTACCTGCCGAGTGACTGCAAGAAGGGCTACCTGGTCAAACTCCCAAACAAGGGAGACACAAATCTTTGTAAGAACAAGAACTGCTGCGGAATCATGCTCCACCTGTCCACCCCAAGCAAAATATTAAGCCATATCATACTCGAAAGACTAAAAATCCTCTGCATTCAACTGACCAGGACAGGTTGGATCGCTGGCTTCAGGAAAAACAAATCATGTGTGGATCAAATTCCAACCCTTTCCATCACCATAATACACAGCATAGAATGGCAGTCAACTCTTTACCTCAACTTCATCGATTTTGAAAAGGCCTTTGACAGCGTCGACCAAAAAGCAATTTGACAACTGCTACTTCAACACTATGGTTTTAGCACCACAAACCTTCATCAACCTCATTCAACAGCAGCTATATTCTATATGATGCTGCATGCCAAGTAATCCACAATGGAAGCTCAGTGATGCCTTTGAAGTTAAAACAGAAGTAAGACAAGGTTGCCGTCTACTATCACCGATCATCTACCTGATTCTGGTCGACTGCACTAGATCATGCAACAAACTGTGAGCAGCGAGAAGATGGGCATAAGGTGACTGGATCGATGAAAGTACCCTGGAAGATTTGCATTTCGCCAGTCATGATGATTTATGTCTAATGTCTTGTCGCACAAACTCGAACATCTACAGGCGAAAACTAACAAGTTGGCAGAAGAGTCGAGGCAGGGCAGCGAAAGGAAACGGGACTTCCTTCAGGTGAACGTAGAGAAGACACAAGTGATGAAGATACCCAACCATTAACAACAGTAACAAGCACCAATCACCATCGACGGGAGAAATCTAACCAAATTGTCTCTTTCACCTAACCACCTACCTACCTACCTATCTACCTAGGCAGCACCGTTTCAACTACAGGCACCAGCACACATCAGGATGTCAAAGCAGCCACGGTCGAAAAGGCAGCAAGACAGACCTTCATCAATCTGAAATAAACAGTGTGGAGATCCACTGCACTCCACTCAGTATAAAGCATCAACAACATCCGGATTTTCAACACCAACATCAAGTCAGTGCTTCTATATCCTTCAGACACTTGGCAAGTCACCACAACCATTTCCAATAAACTACAGACATACATCACATCAACAGCTGCCGCATACGCTCACACAATACTGACACTTAAGATAACATAAGACAGACAGCCAGAATAATAAGAATAAGCAACAAAGAAATCTGGCCTACAAACGAACCAACCAAGAACCCATCACCCAACAAATATGCAGAAGAAAGTGCAGATGGATCGCGTATACACTGAGAAGACCATTTGGGGACATCACGAGTCAGGCCAGGCACTCCAGTGGAACCCACCTAAGTAGGAAACGACGAGTTGGGCGTCTGAGTCGAGGGTGACATGGAGGAGATCGTGTGAGGAAGAAATGAGAGCTTCTGAGCAGTCGTGGAGCCAGGTTCAAAAGATTGCAGAGAAGAGATTGAAATGGCAACGTGCTATTGAAGCCCTATGTTCTACTAGGAATCCAACGGACAAATAACAATGAAATTTTTTTTAATGAGATGAATGAGTCACTGGAAATGCCGACATTCATAAACTAAAGCGAAGTACTCATTAACGAGTTATTGATCATTTATTTTTCGAAGGGTAAACAGAATGCATCTAATTACAGTTGACAATAAACAGAGATAAAAACTCTCTACGATTCCTGAATATGGACAGACAGTTGCCTAAAGCTGTGACAGGGCTGAGCTTAGAAATGCTTTAATACAATCATTTCTTGATAGTCGTTGTCATGGAAGTCCTATTCGTCATGTGGCAAGAATGTTTCGGGATTCATGAAAAGACTAAAGAGTGTCTTTTAGTTAACATATGTCAGCCGACACAAAAGAACTCATCAAAAGAAGTTGGAAAACCCTGATCCCAAGCCAACGGTGCAAATTTGTCTTCGAAAGGAGTGGTAATTCATGAGATAACTTCAGGAAACAGAAATCACCGATATTTAGTTCCAATAACGTGTAGATTACACATCATGTCAAAGGATTATCACAAAAAACAACACCGTTGCTAGATGTAAGAGTCAGGTTTACATTTCAACTACCATACAAAATGTGGAAAAACACTGTAAAGATGATTTCGGATTTCGTTCTTAACCGTCATATCATCCATCAAATTTACGTTCTCACAATCTGAATTCAGTCAGTTATTTTAATGTCCGCTTGACGCATGCGATTTTATATTCGTAATTATTACTCTACACTTGTTTTTACTTTACTTAGCTGCTCATTAGCGATTCACCTTCTGACATGTCAGTAAGCCGTTGCTTTAACAAAACTGTCTTTACGTGAAACACCTGATTCAGAAATTCTAAAACTATGCGCAGTGTTTAAGCCCGTAGTAATCAACGTTCGCATCGTAATGAAGATTAGTCAACGAACACACTTGGCTTTTGACCTGTACGGTATTCTCGGACGTTCGTCTACAAGATTTTAATGTACTGTTATGCATAAGTTCTTCATCCATCAGTTAGAAAAATAGTTCTCATCCCCACTTCTTTGTGAACCCTGTAGTGGTGACATCCAGCTTTGTTAAGGTTTTCGTTACATTATAATCTAGAGTTGATGACTTTCTGCCATGCAATCAAGGGTGGCGTCTACCACCATCTAAGAGATATTCTCAACCAAGTCCACTTGGTAGAATATCGTAGTGTCAGCTGGGAACTTGAATTAACAGATAAGCCGTTTAGGCCTCGAGAAAAATCGTGTGTGGTCAGTGGTAGGTAACCGATCCCAGGTCTGATAGTAGATGTTGTGTCCTTCAGCTTTGCATCATCACCACTAGCTTCCAGTACAGTCACTGTCAATATACTGTCAGGTGTCTCTCCTCTGCCGTTCAAAAGCCGACTTGAACGGACCATACTCCAATCAGTTACTGATGGAGTGTGCCCATATATTACATTTAGTGAAAATTTATAGTTGACTTTGCTTTCTCTATTAAGTTCATTGAGTAATAACCCATTGAACCCACCTTAATAAACACCAAATCCGGGGGGTATGAGTGTGTTCGTTTATTATGCTCAAAGTATGAGAACAGAAGATATATGGATAAAAAGCAGAAAATCCTCATACCATATACAAGTAAGTAACTGTGATAGATTAGACGGAAATATTTTTCAATGATATGCCACCTATTAGCTTACGTTTCCCAGTGAATACACTTAAAAGTAATGCCCACTGACTGAAAGGTTGGTATAGCTAAGCACTGCATTGTATAACTCGCTTGTGATTAACAGTTTTCGCATGTCTCAGATGGAACACTAATAATTACTGAAGTGTAGGTCATGTGTTTAACTGAATTCTCTAGCAAAAAGACAATTACATCACCAATTCCACCAATAACCTTTCAAATTCAGTACTTTCCTAATTTTTTTACGAGTTACAAAGTTTTTAATATTCAGCATGAATGAACAAAACGCTTACCTCAGATCCTATAAGACCGGATCTTATTAAATGCATTACAATGTTACGTTTCACACCTGAACGACAGCACACGTTCTGTAGATAAGTGGCTATAGTACTAGAAGTCAAGTTGGTGCTAACATCTGAAGGAATACAATTCATCTCTTCCACAAAATATTCGAAGACTCTGAGTATATCTTCCAAAGAAATTTTAACGAGATGACTATTAATTATATCTTTTTGGCACACAACTGGATCAGGGGGATTCCATATAAATAAGAAACCATTGTCAGTGGTAGTCAATTCTTTCAAACAATGAATACGACCTTTTAAGAGATGTAACCGTTTTAGCATGCGTATATCATCTTGGATACAATTGCTGAGAAAGCATAAAAGCAAAAATAGTATCATTCATTATGGAAGAAGCTAACGGTGTGAATGTTGACAATAAGTGCTATGAATTCAACAGAATTCATTACATGATTAAAAGGCAATCAAGTTTATCAGAGCAAGAGGGTCCAAATAAACACTCGATGCATTCGAACAAGTTCACAGCATTTTGAAGATATAAAAAGAAAATTAAGTCTCATATGATACATTCAAGGAAATGTTTGTTAATTTTTTTATTGCTCTGCAGTAACGAAGGATATAAAAAAAGCTACAGTACAGTAGTTACTAATTTCGGTTCTGAGCTATATCTGATATTGTTTCAAGTCACTGAGTTGCATTCAGATCCCATCAAAGGCGCATTGCTGTATCAACTAACGTTAGCTCACCACAACTCTCCTTTATCTCACGTCATCATATGATAAACTAACCACTTCTAAACTTTCTCAATGTGATCCAACGATGAACAGTAGTATAGCAGTGACTACTATAAACCCCTATGATCCACATTACTAAAAGAGATGAATGTATCAAGTCAGAAACTGGAAATAGTTTGCCATTTACACTAGGCAGCTTCTTTAACTCAATGTTCAACTAGACAACACTTTGCATTCTAAAGTGGTGAGTTGAACTTATTATAAGAGCCATAACATACTGAGATGGAGATATATCTTACCGACTAGTTCCAAGCATAAATGATAGCTAGCTAGTTATCATTATAAAAATATCATATTGTAGTAAGTTAACTTTTCTTAAAGAAAAGCATTTATTGTAAGACAGAAGGTGACAGAAATTGAAAGCATACACCTGCATTATGAATGAAAGGAGGAGCAGGTGTAAAAATCAAAATGTAAGAAAATCTCACTACACCTTCACTTTCTTATTGAATATATACCAGTGATAGCTCTTGTACCCCAGTAGCCCAACGGACAACGCTTTGGCGCTTGAAGCGATGAGTACTGGACTAGTCTCAGTGGGAACAACATCACTCACTGAGGTCCAACATACATGCAGTTGATGAGTCCCAAATAGGATGAGACGCGCATCCTAGATTTCATTGGGAGTAACTAGGATGAATACAATATACAAGAGACATTTAACAGAACTATTAGAAATGCAGTTATCTGACAACAGAAAAAATTTAGCATACTTTTTTTTCTAAAATGTAATCTTTACCTTTTGGGAAACGATGTACCTGCATTTAACTGTAAATATTCGCCTATTGTGTTTAATATATGTGGAGTTTTATACATAGCTTGGCCATTTTGATGTTGATATGTTATACAGTAATCCAATGCAGTGTCCACAGCTTTATCAAAATGCAATCGACTGCATATTTTCAATAAATCTACTGATAACTGGGCATTATGTCGATTGATGTTAGTCAAATCAAACTATTAAAAAAACAAAAGTGAACAGAAACTTTCAATATCCGATATACAATATATATATATATATATTATATATATATTATATATTATATATATATATATATATATATATATATATATATATATATATATATATATATATATATATATAATTGATACAATAAGTATCGTAGTCTGCATAACATGAATGTCATTAGCAAGGAAGAATTTCATTCGTTAAAACCCGTAGGGTGTGAACACTCCAAACGTATATGATTTATCCAAAAACACAAAATAAATATCCCGTTACATCCAATACTATCGATATATCTCTCCCCAACACATAAATTGGCAAAATAGCTAGCACAAATACCAAATACAGTTAGAAACCAAGTATGTAAGTTTACATTAAAAGATACTTTTGAACTTATTGACCACATAAATGACATGATTATCAAAGATAAGACAATGTATTCTTTCCATGTAAATTCTTAATTCCTCAACGTGTCTTTAACCAAGACTGTTGATATTCTTTGTGATCATATATCTTGGAATATTTCTTTATTCCCCATCCGTCCAAAATATTTGAAAGAGATATTACTACCTATGCACCGATAAGGTTAACTTCACTTTCGGTGGACATTTTCAACAAGTTTATGATGTCATCATGGGTAGACCTTTAGGACCATTGTTAGGTGATATCTATATGTTACGTGTAGAAATTTTGGCTGACGATTTAATCAATAAAGTCTCTCTGTACAGGGGATACGTTGATGATATCTTAGTTATATGTGACGAACATGAGGATGCGAAAAGTTTTGTAGATAGACTTAACACCATACAGAGCCACACTAGTTTATTGTATGAAGCAGAAAATAATAACCAGCTTCCTTTTCTTGACGTATTATTAACTAGAAGGGAAGATCGGTTGATAAAAAGATAAGTGCATAGAAGAATTACGTGGACTGGGCAGTACCTAAACTTTCATAGTTTCTATCGTATACAATACAAACGATATTTAGTGCAGTGCTTATTCAAAAAGACCCAACGTATCTGTACAACAGATACATTGGAAGAAGAAATTAAATTCTTAAGAGACACTTATGGAAAACGCATATCCTCTGAAGTTCATCAATCGTGGAAAGAACTAATCAATACTCTGTCCAGAAGAAGGATGTTTACATTACACAGGCGTATAAGGGGGAATCGAATACTATGATCTTAGAACGGAGGCCTATTTCAATTATGCAAAAGATATACTATGTATCCAAGCTCAGTATCATAGAGAAAACGAAATCTACGCTTCAAAATAAACCTCATCACATCCTGCTGTGTATACCCATTTACACGTATGTGCAGTAACACATACATTGGGAGGAGTAGTCGGATCTTAAAGTCAGGGATGGGGGGGGGAACAATTACATTCAAATGATGTAATAAATACAAAGGGCAGACACATACACATATCACCCTCTATACGTAAGCACACTACAGAAACAGATCGCAGACCATCGTATAAGAGCCGTCAAGACCGTATACTTAGGTTCACTGAAGCCTTATCTATACGAAAGTTTAAACCCCTTTTGTGTATTCAAAAACAGTTTGTCTTTAATTTAAACCCTCCTTAGTAATCTACATCTCAGTTTGATGCCAAGGGAGGCGTGAAAATACAATATTCCTCCTTATTATCCATATATTTTCTAAACCTTGTATTATCTTAATTTAGTTACTTTATCTCGTCCTGTTTTCATCCTTTATGTAAAATGCCTTGACAAGCAAATGTGTGACCAGATTTTTCGAAATATATTGAGCAAATACATCACATTTCTCAGGTAACCTCCTTGTTCTTATTACATCAGGCAAATTCATCAAAGGGATTAATTGTTCCAAAATATCATAACACCTAGTAGTGTTTAACATGGGTCTGTATAGCTGTACTAGCGAAAAGTGCATTCAACTCAAAGACTGTTGTTTTTCTCATTTATAAACAACTCCAAAACACTCACTAAGAGAATACAGTATTATCCCTTTGATGGGTTAATACTGTATTGGGCATCACGTAGTAACCAGCAAAAAGCAGACCAAATGAAAATCGGAACTTTAAGACACTAGTTGCTAACGTCAAGTTTTTTTATCGCACCGTCTCCATTCATGAGATGTAATCATTGCCAAACACGTTCCTTGTTGTTAATCTAACGTAGATTTTATCTTTTTCTTTCTTGTAAATGAGTCTACTCGGATAACAACTTCAAAGAATATCAACAATTAGTTCATATTCTAGATCTGATCCAATTATTCTCAGTTGTTCTCCACTAGTCAATCACATCAGTCAATTCCACTTCCAGTTCGTTTCATACTTAACATTTCCAGCTGGATTTAGAGTGCTATTTGCAGGGCCCCAGATATGCCTTGATCGAAGAGTTAATAAGAGAAGGATTTCTTGCACAGCTAGCTGTTTTTAACTGATTATCACATTCATAGCTAAAACAATTTACGCTATTAGTTTATTGCCAATTCATATACCTCAGAGAGTTTCACTGCATATAATTTCTATCAACTTGAATTCCATTGAAATCCAATCAGCAGACATTAAGTTAAATATGTTGTATGAAGGCTAATGATACTATCTGGCTGCCCAGATCTCGGTAAGATAGGTCGAGCACAGTTTTAATTCGTGACACAGTTGAAATCACGTAATTAAATCAATGAACTATAGCTCCTTAATAATCCTGAAATATCTAATCACTAGTACTAATCATCAACAGATTTGAATTCCATTTGATCTGCAACCACCACTGAACAGATTCCCCATCAATCTGCCTTTTCTCGTAGATTTTGCTTCTTACCATCATTAGGATTGGTTGAACTGAATCGTTAAACACTACACTACTAGGCTTATTTTAACGTTTTGGTGAAATTCCAAAGTTGTTTTACTGTTATTATAACAGCACAAGAAATATAGTACTAGGTATGAAATGAGTCAAGGTAAACACTATCTAGTCAAAAGCCTTCTAAAAAAAATTCACTACATCCTCAACTTCAAGTTAAATGTTTTCTATGTTTTTTCTATGTTTTCTATGTCCATTAATTTAAAGAAACAAGTGCTGGTATATATATATATATATATATATATATATATATATATATATATATATATATATAACCCTATTACTTGTTTCAACCTTGTAGTCACTTTGTCGTGACTACTTGATATAACCTAAAGTATGTATATGTGGACAGCTGAACAATAACCTATAGATTCCACTCCATGATGGTCGCTCAGTTTTCTCGATAAATGGAAAAAGCGGTAACATAACAGAAGGCGTATTACAACATTAAAAATATATACAAAATGCAAGAGTTTCTACATATTTACAGTGGCCTTGGCTATTTCCAGGCCTTTCCAGATTCGAATATCCTACTGATTTTTGCCTCTTCAATCAACCTGATATTTACATGCTCTAAACTTCGGTGCAATATGATAGGTTGTAGAAAACTTCGAGAATTTAAGGCCTTTCATGAAGATTAAAGCAATCTTAATCCACACAATAACAATATTTGTGAAACTCAGTTAGGTCTATATTTTTCAGACTGAAGATTTATTTTATTGACTTCAACCCACAAGCTTCGATCAGCAGCAAGTAACAATGCTGCATAAAAATAGACATTGAAAAATTTTTCCTGAGAATTTGCAACTCACTTGGGACACTAATTCAGAGAATTGTAATTCAGGATTCCAACTATCTGAATAGTTACCATTGGAATCTGTTGTATTTTCAGCATTTTGATGAACGGCACCTCCAGTGGATGTTAACCAATTTAGAACAGCAGTTGGTAAATAACCGGCTTTACGCAAACTGAGAACATTACCGATAAGAGAGAACTCTGGAGAGCGTTTAGACAGTTTACCACCAGAACTAAATGTATGCGGAAAAAAAGTAAAAATGTTCACCTGGTTCTATGTAAATAAAATCTATGAAAACATGTATTTAGAAAAGGATGAAATTTACAATAGGCCCAGAACGTTTATTTACTATGTTAAGAAGAGTTCAACAAAAATACCAAAGAAACACCAAGTTATGTATTGATACTTGGTATTTTCCCTTGCTGTATCGAATAGAATTCATCTACCTATATTACGGAATGAGCTCATATGCGGATGCCTGGATATTGCCTTAACATTCATTGTTATGACTTATTTGATAGTGGCTAGTCATGGAATCCAAGACGCGCGTTTCATCTTACCTGGATGCACCTGGACCCCAATAAGTGATGGTATTCCTACTACGACTCTAACCCAGCACCCATCACTTCCAACATCAGAGCGTTATCCACTAAGCTACTGAGTCAATAGAGGTACTTTCTTTGCCCAACAGGTATCAGTTGTTATTTATTGATATTTGTAATTTCCCATTGGTTTACCCAGCATTTGAAGCAATAGATGCTGGGTCTCAATTGAGAACACCATCATTCTCTGAGATGCAGGCATACTCAGTTGATGTGTCTCAAATAGAACAAAACGCATATCCTGCAGTCTACCACTAGCTACTTACACGGAAACATTAAGTTGTTTTCCAACTAACTGTAAGTGAATTTAGTTAAAAAGTCAGTAAGAATCATTCATAAGCTAGTAGTAAAATTTAAAATTATCCGTTGGTAGATCACTTGTTAAGAGATTTTGTGTCATGTAAGCCTTCACACCAAACTCCATAGATTTTCATAACGTTCTTCTTAACATCATCGTTCATTGTTTGGTGTATAAATTTATGCAAATAATGATACGGCAACTCAATCTGGTACAGGTTGAGTCATAATTATTGCGAGTGGGCTCATATTGAAACAGGTAGAGTAGGGTCTGTAATTAGGCTCCATGGCTTAAAAATTTAATACCACATACCCACTTACAAACAACTTTGATGGATTTTGGTCGGTTGGAGGCAATCGGTGGGAAACCCTGCTCCATCTAGGTTTCAGTGCTTGTCGGCATTCGTCAGCAAGCTGTATCTGAAACCTCGCAGGAATTGATGTCCCATGTGAGATTCTGACATGCGTCACCCAGTGTTGAAGTCATCGGCGTTACCACTGAGTTATTCCTGCAGGACTGACTGGATTACATACATTGACTAGTAACAGAGGACATCAGTTCCCGCAAGGTTGCAGATACAACTTACTGACGAGTGCTAACAAGCACTGAAACCTAGATGGAACAGGGTTTCCCTCCGATGGCCTTTAGCCAACTAACATCTATCAAAGTGCATGGTTATGGTGAGCCTCCTAGCTTGGTGGCCACATTCCAAAATGATCGATAGAGTTCGGTCTGTACTCAGGACTAACCAACGTGAGACTGATTGCTCGCCAGTGATCAGTCAAGGTTTATAATCCAGTCCTACATATATATATATATATATATATATATATATATATATATATATATATATATATATATATATCCAGAGTATGTAATCAGCAAGACTTAGTATAAACACCTTACTTCATCCTAGGGATCGAAATCAGGACCTTCAGGTTTCACGGAGAACGCGTTAACCACTCAGCCACTGAATCGGTTTTCAGTGGTTCATAATTTCCAACTTCCGTTCACGACTCCCAGGTTTTCAGTGGTTCCCCAACTGATGTCAGTCCGTGATGAATACTACCTCGAAATTAAAAATCCCCATTTATCTCAAAAATACACTACTATATAGTGCGTATTAGTGACATGCTTCCAGATGGACATCATGTAGGTCTAATAAGAAGCCTTGACCTGTAGGGTCAACCAGTCTGAAGAGAAGCGGAAGCCAACTGAAGACCTGGGGTGATAGTAGCGCTATATCGTGAATGGACAGAAGTAGGAAACTGTGAACCACTGAAAACCAACCCAGCGTCTGGATGGTTAACGCGTTCGCCATGAAACCTGAAGGCCCTGAGTTCAGTCCCTAGCCGGGTCGTGGGTGTGTACAGCTGAGTCCCATACTAGAACGAAACAGTTGTCCAGTGCCCCCAGGTTTTCAATGGTTCCCCAACTTATGTCAGTCCATAGTAAATACTACCCCTATAACCTACTAGTTGAAAGTCGAATGCTCATTCCAGAGAGCTTTTCAATACAGATGCGCTAACTAAACAACAGCTAAACAATTCAAAATTATTATACAGTAAAAAGTAGATAGTTTAATAGTTTTAACAAGAAAAGTAACATGTCATGTTTAAGTCAACCAAGCAATGAGAGTATGGGTCATTGAGTCCAAATGAAATCTCACCACGCATCATAATCAGCATCAATTCAGATATACAAAGAAAGTAATGCCTGCTTAAACCTTGAGAGCCACTGAAAATATTTCATCAAATTCCCACCCTTCAATTTGTTTTCAGCCGTTACGTACATCTTTTAAACGCGTCATGTACTCTTGGACACTTTAAAAATGGTTTCAAACTGCCGTTTTCCCAGCTAACAACAAAAAGTAAACACGATACACCTGTAAGAGATGGGCTTATAAAAGCACAGAAATACAGTACATTACTATTCCTTAGATAGCTATGTCAAATTGCAGATTATGGTACTGATTGGATCAGCTACCACCACCAAAATTATCCTCGATTTCCTATTCATTCACCAGTCCAAACCATACGTTGGTGTATTTCCAAGTGACTGTTTCACATTGTGGCTTTTATTACTGTTACTGTCATTGATATTATTTAAATCCAACGACTATTTCTCTTAAAGATAGTGTACAGGGGATAAATTTGTTGAACTATTATATGCTGAGAATTCCATACTGTACCACACGTATTGTTTGGAACAAAGCCATTGTTATGATTATTGTTACTATCATTACTATTGCTATTACTATTATTATCAATGAAGGATCTTGCAGAAGTGTATTAACTCAAGTTGCTAAACTGTTCAGACAGATTCATTAGTCAAACCAGGGTTTTAACAATTACATCCGGAATCCCAACAATGAATGGGAGCAAATAAAAGAAACATCAGTAATATAACAACTATTCCTTCGGCTTATTTCAAAGTTCTCGATGTGAAAAAAATATGGAAACAATAAAAGACGAGGTCATCATATCAGAAGAGGATCTTAAAAATTACACGTAGTATTTGAAAAGGATGATTGAAGTAAATGGATTTATTTTCACCAGTAAGATATCTAGTGAATTTGTAACCCACTAATTTAAAGTTTCCTTCCAACCAGTAAGCTACAGGTCAATAAAGCTATAATTGCTAAAACCTTCGTATACCAGCTTCTGGTGCAACTTTTGTGTAAAGCTTAACAACGTTTCATTTAACCTACCGAAAACACTGAAAGCACTCTACTGATGACTAAAAATATTTATCCTTACAAATCCTGATGAATCTACACTCCCAAAAATAGCAATGAAACCATAGTTAAGTTGAACAGCTGTAGTTGCATAAACACTTTTATATACTAATGAAAATCATAATGAAAGAAAAAAAATGCTTTTTCGACTAACCTGGAGAGCAGTAAAGGAAGATGAGCAAATTGTGGAGGTGACCAATTCAAAGCTTTGTACAGTAACAAGTGTTTAGGTGTAGACGTTAGCCATTCCTATGTTAAAAGGTAAGGAGACAGTAGAATCGTAGGAAATGCCAAATAATGGAATAATACAGATACCAAGAAAGTATTATTTCAGCTTTGATAATTGATTTTCGAACTTTCATTATCCAGTTACATCATGTATCATTACAAAAAGACTACGTAGTAATTTCACTCATGTTGGCAGTAAAACTACCAATACCAGATGAAAGAATCCAAGGCAACAAGATAATTGTGAAAACATTCAGATACATTGCTATTAGACACGGAGGTAATCAAAATTAGTTAAATGATCACTACAATTAATTTCCATTAAATAACTGATATTCAATGCTCCACAATATGGAAAATGTTGAAATACGATTTGAAAGTATCAGCATCTTAACAGTATTCAAAGGTGTTCATAATAGTATATATTAGATAAATGAATTCACCCTGTAATGTCACCTAATAGAGAGTACAACTAGCAACTTTCCTTAAGAGTATCCTATTTAACTTATAAAAGAAGTGATAGGTCACAAGAGAGTAGCCAATTTCATGTTATTTAGTCCTGCTATGCGAAGGAAAGTGTGTCGAAGAAATCTACATCAGTAACCAATTGGTCTAGACCAATGAGCCGAAGATTTAAAAACGCTACTCACGCAGGGGCTGTAAATAATTCTAAAATCGAGTATGGGACAGGATAATCTTTTGATTAGCGGACTGTATACATTAGTAAAAAGAAGTAAACATTCCAACTACACTAAATTATAATCGCATTTTACTTTCTATTGACTAAGTGGATCTGACTGAGGAGAGTGAGGAATGTTCACAGGATTATACGAATTAACCAAGCTTACAACTATAAGAAATTAGAAACCCAACCGGCTAGTTCCACTGATAGCATCGCATGTTAAATGTTGACTAGCCAACAGTATCAGAGTCTGAAGCTAATCAGAATACCTGACACGACTAAACAGTCACCACTAAATGAAAACTTATACATGAGTCCATTATAAAGCATGTCGATTATTATTATATGTAAGAATAAACAAGTTTGAAGATGGTTTTTAAAACCATCAAAAACCAAGCTATTTTATTTCTTTTGAAAACTCTTTAACAGTATACACCATCAAATTGAGATACTAAACCCATAAATTTCAAGCTTTCAAATGATCAACGTACTATTGAGTTCAACCTTTCGGTTGACTATCATTTGAAAATATGATTCAGGAAAATTATCTTTAAACCAATCGATTCACAGAAACAAACGATAACAATAATACAAAGTAAAAAATGTTATTTGTTTCACTTACAACACCTCTAATGACATGACTAATTTCCATGTAATGATCATCTACTACATTGGCCAAATGATAAACAGGCATGCCATCTGACTTCATAATAATCTGTTCAAGAGAAAAAGTGTAACAACAATTTCTTTCTCAAACATTTATAAACAGCATTTTATTATCATTGTCAAAAATCCAGATGTATATTAAAACAAAAAATGCCACGCATGCATGTGCTATGTTAGAGGAAGTTAGATTACGTTGGAAGAGGGTTCAGGGTGGCCAGAGCAAGACCTGGCACCAGTTCATGAAGTCTCTTACTGTTGGTGTGAGTGGTGTGGATGGATGTAGACTGCCTGGTTGGGTTCCCCGAGAGGAAAGGAATCAGTGGTTGATGGTTCTTAATGAAATGGCTGAAAATCGGTCACAATGGAGCAGATGTATTCACTTAAGACAGAAAGTTCGCACTAACCTTCATCTTCAGATTGCTTATTTTCTCATACTACTTTATCTTCTTTGATATCACTTTCCTATCGATCTGTTCTTTATGTACTACTGTGAAATGTGACAACTTGAGCTGATGCACCTGTGTGCGGGTTTTACGTTGATATTATCGGTCAGTCAGTTTACTCTAATTTCACTGAAAAGAACCTGAGCAAGCAGAATGAAAACTTACGCTATTCCGGTCAGTTTTTTCTGGCTCTTCTCAAGGTTATTAAATTGTTGGTTGTAAGATTTAGCCGGGGTCGTTTTATTAAACATATTAACTTCGCAAGATAGAACATATTAAAACTGGTAATGAGTATGGCAGAAGGTTGTCATCTAAGTATGGAAAATGCTTAAAAATACTAATGACAAGGGAACTCACAAAGTCACCATCAATGTTGGATGAAGGAAAAACTGAATTTCCAAAGATAATATCATTCACTGCAACCGGTGAGTGATCAGTCTGGAAAACAAAAAGTAATATTACTAAAAGTGTATAAGTAAGATCTTAATCTCTTGGCATTAAAAAAATATTCTCATGGATGAAAAATGTATCCAAGAGACCCGATTTAAAGATCGCTTGAATAATTAAATAAGCCGGAAGACTCAACACAAAAAACAAATGAAATAAGCCCTCATCTCAGTGACTAGCAGTGGAATTCAGTATGCGTGTCCCGTCCTATTTGGGACTTGTCAGCTGAATTTACCAGCATCCCAGTGAATGATGTCGTCCCCACTGAGACTCGAATCCATTACCCATCGTCTTTCTTGAGCCATCACAAAAGCATATAAGCTACTAAAATGCATAGATTAAATAAATACCTGAGTACACTATCCTACTACACGCTTAGTAAACACATAGATATTATACACCCGAACTTCTTATTTTTGTCGGGGTATGATTCCCTCCGATTAAAAATATAAATATAACCTTTACCATTTATATGATTTCCGTTAGGTATGTTGAATTCTAACAGTCAAAACTTAGTTTATATACTCCGATCACCAAGAATATAACCAATTCCCTACTATCAGTTTAGTTTCCATGTTTCGCATACTTTATAGCATACAGTACTTAAGTGCAGTGGAAAATCAAGCAAAATACTAACTCTTATTGTCAGATTTTGAGTTTCGTTTAAGTGGAAAAAAGATAGCTCTACATTCCTTGATAAAATATCACTGCCTACCCCCTGGAATTTATTTTAGCCTGATTCACTGCTGATCACCAGATATTATTATTACTGCTTTTTCATATTGCTACTCAGTAAACTTTTATCCTTCAAATGTAAATAACAGTATTATTCCACTAAGTACACGATAAATTAATTATTTTCAAAAGGAGCAAGAACAACATTGGCAGCAGGATAAAACGTATGCATTTCATTTCAGCAGTATTTTATCAACCCACTCATAGCATAGAATTGCAAAATATATGGTTTCATTGAAAATTTAGCACATTTTAATCAACTGATAGAAAACAGAATATCAGTCAGTGGTTAGGATGGGCAGAAACAGTTATAGCGTAGTGGTAAATTATACAGGGAAATTCAAGGATGGCTGGCTAATAAATGGTAACACAAACTGTCACAACTATGGGCACAATTCAACTGAAGTTTCTTGAATAAAAAAAATGACAAAAGAGATAGCAATCAAAATGTTAACTCCAACTATATATGTATCAATTCACGAATATCTGCCAGAGAAAGTGCATTGAAAGAAAAAAAGAATGGCATACCTTAGATTTTCTGGAAACATTCCAAAGAGCTGACGGCTAAGGGGAAGTAACAGTGAACAGCGCAATCACTCGGCATCTGTTTGGTACTAGAAATTAGGCAGACGTCTTCAGTTCCTTAGAGACAGTAAATAAACACACGAAAATCTAGTTCTCCTGAAGTACAGTGATTTCATAGCCATCAAACGCTCTAAACCTGATTTATTTTTTTAAAAAGAAGTTATGGTCAGTCTCTGTCTACCTTGGTAACCTTTCCTAGCTGTTATTTAATTACATCAACCTTTATCAAATTCGGATGTTTATTCTTTCACTCCTACTCAACTGCACAATCTTTTGCTAGATCCAATTAGTTCACATTGACTATTTTAAACCAACTCAGTTTAACTACTTGTTTTGTTTAGTAACTTGTATATCGTATGAATCACTTGCGTAATCCTATAATGTCAAGTCCCTCAACATTTAACATGCTACCCTCTTTTGCTATTTTTTTTATTCAAGAAACTTCAGTTGAATTGTGCCCATAGTTGTGATAGTTTGTGTTACCATTTATTAGCCAGCCATCCTTGAATTTCCCTGTATAATTTACCACTACGCTATGACTGTTTCTGCCCATCCTAACCACTGACTGATATTCTGTTTTCTATCAGTTGATTAAAATGTGCTAAATTTTCAATGAAACTATATACTTTAAAATTCTATGCCATGAGTGGATTGATAAAATACTGCTGAAATGAAATGCATACGTTTTATCCTGCTGCCATTGTTTTTCTTCAAATACATGAAGAAAAATGTCTGCATGAAACTGGTTATTTTACCACTTTTCTTGATGATCAATTAGTTTTCCTCCTGAAGATACTCATAACTAAAGCATATTCAGTTAATAATTCCAGTCTAATTGAAAGGTAATCATGAAGATGATTTAAGAACTGAGGGTTTGAATCCTGATGGCCCCAGCAAGATTAAGTTCTAACTTCAATCGAAATGCCTCACAGTAAAATATCTGTCGAACCAAGATAAACAGCAGCAATGATATCAAAAAGCCAGAGTAGTGAATAATTATGCAGTTAATACTGACATGCATACACACCCATTTCTAATATTTACACGAAGATTAAATTTAGCCAAACAAATTATTGTAACTTAAAGGAAGTAGCCTCTATCGCCTATCTAGGCAGCACCGTCTCAACTACAGGCACCGGCACACATCAGGATGTCAAAGCAGCCACGATCGAAAAGGCAGCAAGACAGACCTTCATCAATCTGAAATAAACAGTGTGGAGATCCACTGCACTCCACTCAGTATAAAGCATCAACAACATCCGGATTTTCAACACCAACATCAAGTCAGTGCTTCTATATCCTTCAGACACTTGGCAAGTCACCACAACCATTTCCAATAAACTACAGACATACATCACATCAACAGCTGCCGCATACGCTCACACAATACTGACACTTAAGATAACATAAGACAGACAGCCAGAATAATAAGAATAAGCAACAAAGAAATCTGGCCTACAAACGAACCAACCAAGAACCCATCACCCAACAAATATGCAGAAGAAAGTGCAGATGGATCGCGTATACACTGAGAAGACCATTTGGGGACATCACGAGTCAGGCCAGGCACTCCAGTGGAACCCACCTAAGTAGGAAACGATGAGTTGGGCGTCTGAGTCGAGGGTGACATGGAGGAGATCGTGTGAGGAAGAAATGAGAACTTCTGAGCAGTCGTGGAGCCAGGTTCAAAAGATTGCAGAGAACAGAGTGGAATGGAGACGTGCCACTGAAGCTCTATGTTCCACTAGGAACCCAAGGGACAAATAATAATAATAAATCGAGATTCTAACCAATGTAGATATCCATTGTCCTCAAGACTGCGGTGATATAGCCTACATTTGAATGGTTGAGACAAACAGTCGAAAGACTCGGACATTAGTGCCATGTCCTAACCTGAAAATTATAAGGTTCTAATATATATTCACTGAATTATATATATATATATATATATATATATATATATATATGCTTGTAAATCATGAAAGTTTTATAACATACTTTGAAACGAATAGTATATGGGAGGCCTGATGACAAATTTTTTTCAATTTCTTTTTCAGATAGATTACGACAACGATTATCATAACGTTGTGGTTCATTGCGACGACTTTGCTCATTGCGTAGAACAGCTAGTCGTTCTGGTGAACAAAAACACCGATATGCAAATCCTTCATTAATCAGCTTTTGTGCAACAGTCGAGTATAGGGATTTTCTCTCAGACTAAAATATAAATAAATAGCAGAATATGTTGAGTAAAGTTGCATTTTCCGAAAAAACTGAAGATCCTTAGGATTTAAAGAAGCTGAAAATACTTATACTAGAGAAGCGATACCTAGTTTTCAATAGCAATTACACCAATCGATGATAAGAAATATTCTGAGTGTGTTAGTGTTTCCTTCTTTCTAAATAGTAGTGATTGGTTCCCTAATAACATAATCTACAATATAGACATGTTTTACTTTGCCTACTGAACACATTTTTGACAATTTTTTTATTTGTAGAAGTGACAAGATAATCGGGTTACCTGGATCGATATAACATAGAAGGTCGTGGACAATTTATGACTCATTAAGACCATTCTCAGATATGCTTATAAATGCAGATGGATTGCAAAACCTATTTGTTTATCTACCTAAAGATTACAACAATACACTGAGTTTACAGATTATTTGGAATATTTTCCTGAACTGTTTATTTAGTTGGTTGGTGAATACAAAATCCGATCTAAATAATTTTTTTTATCAAGAATAAGCCTTTTACACTTAACAATTGATACTTGACTATCATACCAACCAACTGGGATTCGATTCTTAATGCAAAGCTACTTCAATATGCAAATAGTGATCATCAGAGTTGTACTGCGGTTAGATCGTTTAGACTCAACTTCCAATTACTGAGTAGCAGGTTTGAGCATCACTCTACTTATCGAAATTTTGATAGCTTCGTAGTGTTGATACACAGTATGGTTTAAGTCCTAGTAAACGACCCTGTACATGGAGAATTAATTGTGCTATGTTCATAGTGTGAAATCAAAAGTAATACATATAAGACACGCAAAGGACTATATACGGGTGTAATTTAAGATACATTATAGATGGACCAAATTTATCAATGAACATACCTGAATGTATGAGCCATAGTCTCCACCAACAAAGGGACCTTCATCAGGTATTAATCCACACCAGTTAAGCGATTCTATTATATCCTCTTGAGCATATGGCTGCAACCTAGACTACCGAACATCTATAAAAGAATAATCAATGTGCTGTACTTTATCAGTGTCCTCAATGCGTAGTATGAATTTTCCCGAATGTTTTACGGCAAACAATTTATTAAACAAAGCAGTACGCAAGCCGCCCAAATGCATAAAGCCTGTAGGACTTGGTGCGAAACGTACACGCACAGAAATACTGCGAGCCAATTCGATTTTGTGGGAAGTGAAGAGCACATAGCTTCGACATGAGAAACTACCACAGCGGGATATGTTCATTTGTAGTGTTATTGAAGTCACAAATTCTTACACATCTAAATTAGAATAAAACAGAGCATAGGTTTATCGGATTTTAAAATAATAACAGAGAAGTTAAAACTTTTGAAGTATCTCTGTATTTTGAAGCCTAGTGATAAAGAGTGCTACACAAGGATATACAAACCAAAATGAAATCCCGCACAATTTCACATGAAATACGAATATTATAACCCAATACCAAAACTGGACAGCTCGGTATAATCAGCCCTCAACGTGATCACTTCGTCCTTACAAGAAGGAATAGCCATCTTAGAGGCTTTTGAAGCTAATAGAATGCACTTGTTAATAAAAGCTATTAAGAAACTCAACATATCCAAAGAACGTGGTAAGAGAAAACTAAATATTAGAGCTTCATGAGACAGACCTTCCATTGTATTGTTAGCGATATGGATAAGCAGTACACCTAGTAATCCAAAGTGTGGAACGCCATCTGTCCGAAATATGGTGGTGCATTAACCGTCCATCTTCGTGGAGACAAACCCGAAAGCTTGCGTCGCACAGCTATTTAGTGAATTATACACTCATTAAAGTAAAGAATCAAGAAAGTTGTCTGTAGATAAAAAGGTGAAAGTAGTAGAGATTCCTGAAAGATGGTTGCCTTCTCAAATCGTTACCCCTAAGTAAAAGTGAATAACGTTTAGAAGCAAAAGATATAGCTCTAGATGTGACGGAACTAGATGCTCTGTGACCCAGTACATGAACTAAACTACCTACAGGAATCAGTGTGATCCACCTTTGCTTTGAGATAATTAATGAAGTGTCTAGTAAGTATCGTCCTTCGATTGCGGGTTGCTGGTCCAGCTTATGGTTATTGTTTAACCGTTTTACATTAATCAAGACTTCGAAATCGCCACCACGGACTGGGGTTTTAGGAGCTTCAGTAGCTGAACCTACTGCCACTATATACAGCGACACTGGAAGCAGACTATTAAAGAATAAAAACGATTTTACCACATACAGGAAAAGCTAACATTTGACTTAGTCTTTACAAACGAAACGTCCCAAATTAACATATCTGGTACCAATACCGTTTTGAGAAATTTTCATGCCATAATCTAAATTATTTTATGTGTCATGCTAGACTAAAGTGGCGTTGAAAAACGGACCTATAAACTTAGGAAAATAAATACCCTGCTAATTAGTACAACAGGGGCCACTTACAAAAATAGCCCCTAGAATATGCCGCACACAAATATTAAAGAGGCACCTACCTATCGGTGACCATAATTACTTCTAGGCCATTTTCAGTACATGCAGAGATATGGGAACAAATATATTTGACAGTGTGAACATTTTTAATGCTAAAACTGACTGCAGATTAGGAAAACTAAAACATCACTACAAATTAGTGCAATGGTTCAAAATGCATAACGTATCAAGAAAGATCGTTAGCATACTTGATAGATGACGGCAGAAGACTAATCACGTAATCCATCAAGCTTTGCAAAAATGAAGCCTGACATTTCCAGACTGTCCTCAAAACGAGTAGTTACGAGATGTAACAACGAATGAGCCACCAAATTAAATAAATATCACAAAAAGTCCACGCTGAGGACAGCTTCGTCGGTAAGCGTCAAAAGCTGCCTGAAAAAAATAGATGCAAACTCTGAGTATCTGGTAGAAATTAAAAAAGATCCAGGTTGACATGTCTAGATGTCAACAGTATACATCCAAGTTTACTTAAAAAGGCTGAGAAAACACTGCTTAGTTTGATATTCAGCAGCAGTCACACTTCTATGGAATGAAAAGAGGGAGATTGTAACAGCCTATGAATGATGTACAACTGACCCTGCAAACTACGTGCCAATAAACATACTGTCCCATATTTCAGAAGAGTTGGAAGACCCTCAGCATAAGGAGCTATTAGCCTTCTTTGAAAAACAAGTTTTATCGAGGCTAAACGTAAAAGTTCCATAAGGAACCATTCTTAAATGAAATACCAATATGCGAGACATGGACAAAAGACAACTGCAGTCGATAAAAAGTAGATAAAGTAGATATTGAGTGTTTTGATATACGAAAAGCAGTTGACAGAATTTTTAAACTTCCTGACGGCTCTAAATGCTGAAAAAAGACAGAGACAACGCAGAACCTCCCAAACGAGAGCATAGGCTCGAGTTGTCACACTTCACACCAGCACATAAAGAAAACAGAAAAAGAGTAGTATTATAGCGTCACGTACTTCCCCATAATCAATAGCCTAGGATTCGACGATTCAACATTGATCCTGACCTTCATGGTTTTATCGGACTCACTAAGCTTAAGGCATACAGTCAAGCATCAACCCTATTCGGCACGCTGTCGTGTTACGTTGCACTACTCGGAATCGACCCTCTAGCCAGCTAGTCAGAATGCATCGGTATATTCACCCAACCTCGCAAATACACTATTCCATCTGACTACGCTATTGTGTTCTTCCTTGGTCTTGTATTCGTAAGTATATTACAAGTACGAATAATTAGTGACTGGCCTCTGCGTCTGTCTAGTTCACACAAGAACAGTTCCTAAAATAGCAAAGTATACAAAGCTGTGACAATAAACAGTTTGAAGACAGAGGTTAGCGGAGATTTTCAAGCTCTAGATGGCGTCAAAGAGAGACCAAAGAAACATTAAAAGACAGCTAGTAAGTGATTGTAAGAAATCAAAAAATATTTCATTTATTTGAAGTAAGATTAAGTATGAAGCAAATGGTAATATGTATTAATAGTCTGAGATATCCCGAGACGAGTGCCTGCTAGAATGCTTCAATGAGTTTTTTTCGGCAGATCTAGACCGTTAGGCCCACTAGCTGGGCCAGAAGTGCTGAGCCAAGGGATTCAGCGTAAATAGCGAAGCGGCTTTTTGGTTGCTTAGCAACATCAAGTATGGAAAATTTCCGGGTCTTGCTGGCCTTTATCCTAGGCCGTCATCCTCTCTAGAGGATATTGTTGCCGGGTCAATTACTTAGCTCAGTAGCAAATTTCTAGACCAATAGCATTACTCCCCATACTTTCCAAGGTACTGGAAAGCCTGGTTGCAGATATTGTTTGGGACTACCTTAACAGAAACAACATTGTCCACCCTACCCAGCATGCCTTCAGAACCGGGCGGTCATGTGCCACAAACCTGATAACCGCTTGGGATGACTCGACTACTAGATGGGACAACAAACAACCACTTCACGTTATCTTCTTGGACTTGGCCAAAGCTTTTGATAGCGTCTCACACCGCATTATGCTCGCCAAACTAGCAAAAGTGGGTATCATTGAACCACTCTTAGCATGGTTTACAGTATACCTAGAGGACAGAGAATTCTGCACTAAAGTAAACAGAATTCGACCAACCTGGAGGAATGCAAGAAAAGGAGTTTCTCAAGGAGAAATCCTTGGACTACACCTATTTTTACTATTCATAAACGGCCTCCTCACCAAAATCTCATCTATCCTCCTATTCGCTGACGACATCAAAATGTGGAGGACGACAGGCGATGAATAGGATCCTAGGATACTCCGAAACGACCCGTTGCAGCTGGAGTCCTGGTCAGCTGCAAGCGGTTAAAGCTTTAATCTGGAGAAGTGCAAGGTGATGTATCTCCGCACACCAGAGGCGATGAAAATCAACTACACTCTTAACAATGGTACAATCACTAAGGTGTCCACAGAGAAGGACCTAGAACTAAACTTTTCTGACAGTGGATACTACTGGTATTTATAAGGGAATGACAGCAAAAGAAAACGCCATTATGCATTTTCTAAGAAATCAACCTAGATCGTTAACCCCAGAGTTATTCTTCATGGTATTCAAAACCTACGTTAGACCACACCTAGAGGTGCTCAACACGATAGCTCCTCCACTACTAAAGAGAGACGCAAATTCTCTCCAGAAGTCACAAAGAGCAACAAAGTTGGTTGTCGGACTAACAGCTAAAACATATGCTCAAAGCCTCAGATAACTCAACTTGTTCAAACTAAGCTATCGAAGAAAATGAGGTGATCTGACAACAGCCTACAAGATCATTCACCAAATGGACCACCCAAATAGGACAACATTATGGGTCCAAAACCGACTCCCGTGGGAACCCCACTCGCATACCCTACCGTAGGGCAAAGACTATAGTGAGATCTAACTTCTCCCACAGAGTATGTGCCTTATGGGACGCGTTGCCGAAAGAAGTGGCCACAGCTACATCAGTCAACTCCTTCAAATGACTACCGGATGAGTATGTGAGCGCAAACGGCTCACCAAGAATATACGTTAGTAGCAACTGATGATACGCCCTTCCATCCCTGTATTCCCCAACCCTAGTATCTGCAGTAAGACGCATCTCTCCTCTATATTATTACCAGTCACATTTATCTTTTCAAAAGTACTTTTCACTTCTCTTTTTCTCATTCCCCACTCAGCTCGTTTCTATCACTTTTTAAGTAACGCTTAAAACTTACTTGCAGGTACCTACAACAACAGGAACTGTAAACGGTTGATTGGTCTTGCCAGCAGCTCCGGTGCCCCTTCCCCCCCCCCCCCACCTAAACAAACCAAGCTACGATTTGCAAATAAAACACCTTCAAATAGACAAACACTACCTCCAAAGCTATAAGCAGGAAAATGCAAAGACTTCCGCGACCATCGAAGGAGTACAACCGAGTAAAAAGAACCAAGCCTTAAGACCTAGAAGGGAGAGCTCAAAAACTGGAAGTTTCCTCTACCCGCACTACTGATGTTGGATGTTGGAACCATTTCGAATACAAACAATCTGCAGGCACCAAGGCAACATGAGTCTAGGGCCGGAAACTCCCGTTTAAAACCAATCAAAATAGAGGAGTGGGTATGAAACCGTGAGAGCACACTGCCCATAGATGCTATGTTGGTAGACTGTAATAAAACGTTTGATATGGTATTGCATAAACTTACCGCAAGAGCTTACAAATGTTGGAATCGACTATACATTCCAGGCCTCCATTACGGATTTTATCTAGGACAGAAGCAGAGTGGAGTTTACATAACACCAAGGAAAAACTGTAGTTAGTGGGGTTTCTCAAAAAAGGGTCTAGAAAATCCTCCTTTTCCTGAACGATGTTAGCAAACTGCAGAATCTAGTGCTCTTCTTGGGCAACCATGGAAAATTCTGGGGAGTCATTAACGGAGATACAGAACAGTATGTGAAAAAAGTGGAAGTGAAGGTAATGACAAGTGACTTGTCGATTAAGTGTGACAATGTATTACATCAAAAATCACCATCACTGAACTACAGCAAACATCTAAATAGCTCAGAGATCCAGAGCTCAAGGTCTTTAAGACAGTCATATTCCTGTGCATTATATGAGATATCACACTAGGATCCTAACTACCAATTAGTCGATTCGTACCTGTGGATATGGTAAACGAGTGCAACGAATGACCTTGAGTAAAGTATCCGTAACCTCCAATATCCAATATCCGATATACTTTTGCGAGCTAGCGTAAACCAATTGATTTCTTCGCACTCACTTCTAGGTCTTGCGGAACGGTTCCTGATTAGTTGTCCCCAAGGCTTCCAATTGCCAGGGCTATGTTGCTAAACGCATTTGGAACATTACCCAATCAATTTTCAGCTTCGACTTCCAGACTGCCTAATTTCTTCATAATTAGGCTCCATGGTTCTTTAATTATTTTTTTTATTATTAAATGCTAGTAGATCCTGTATACTTGCTAAGTCTCAGGCTTACGTTTTTCTCTTCCTCTTTTCCCTTCTCATGGTTACCACTAAAATCACACAACTCCCTACGACAACGTGCCTACTTACCTACAGGCTAGATAAAAACCTATCAACTGCTGCTCGTTACAGTTCCCGGTTGTTTCAATCGGCTTGCCACTTTCAAAATCTGACATCAGTTGTGCAAGTGTAGGAAACAGTTTTTGGGCTCTCTCGTAGGTCTTGAGGCTCGATCCTTTTTGTTCTATCGTATCACTTCAGTAGTCTCAGAAGCCTTTCGCTTTTGCCTGCATATGGCTTCAGAAGTATTGGTTGTCCATTTGAAGGTTTAGGAGTTGCTCTTGTTCTGATCAGGCAAACTCAGAGGTCGACCACTAATTATCTGTACCTACGAATACGCGATTTAGGAAGAACACAATAGCGTAGTAAATTGGGAACGTAATGTTTGACTGGTCGTTCAGAAATGCTAGTGCATTCCGACTAACTCGCCAGAAAGCAGATTACGAGGAGTGCAACGTGACACGACAGCGTCCCAGGTGGTGTGGATGCTTGACCGTGTGCCTTCAGCTTAGCGATTCCAAGGCTAGCAATAATGTTGAATTTCGTCGAACCCTAAGCTACCGACTCTGGGGATCACTTGCGCTGCAGATCATTCCCTCCCCCTAGTGGGTTTGCTGGGACCCTTGTAAGTAAAAACCCGATGGCTTCATCACCAGCAGAACTCTTTCGATGAGCTCACTGCGAGGAGTGGCCTCTGGCTGTCTGAAAAACGCAACGGTTGAATTGTACACTGATCGCGATCCCCAGTGTACTCTGACGTTTTGTCTAAAGGTCGTTGCACCTGGAAATAGAAACAATTCTTTGCTACCAAAGACATTTTGGGAAAATGGGAAACATTTGTAACCTACATGTAAAATATATATTCAGAAAGATTTGGTGCCCGATGGTTTTTGGAAAAATGCATGACTGAATGGTGGGGAAAATTCATACTAAAAGCAAAAATGCAGGAAATTTTCCCTGTTCATGGTAAAAACAGTGCCCCTAGAACATTCTGAGTAATTCGCGCTACTCAGCTCAGTATGTTTTGGGATGATACGGGTTCCACCAAATCATGCTTTTTGCTGTTCAGATGGTTGTCGTACCTGGTATTACCAGGCACATCTTCAAGAATTTCAGTTACGAGGCTCTCTGCTAGTCAGCTGTGGTGAGCAGAAAAACTACTAATGGTGGTTTTGCCGTCGGAGAAGGCTGGATTCAAGCGCTCGATGCCGATAGTATGTTCCCTTCCGTTTTGCTGGATTACGTAGGATTTTTTGTGCCGCTTGATGACGTTTAGTGGTCCATCACAGGGTGGTTCAAACGGTCGACGTACGGCGTCGTGGCATTATGAAAACGTGTGCCGCCTTCTGCATGATGAGTGAAAGAAGACGTCAGTTGTTTAAGGTCCGGCCGAGCTGAACGCATTGCGCTTGTGAGCCCGGTCACGTTACATCTTCTGCCAAAAACACTTATAATGGTAACAATAATATATTTAGAATAATGAATTAAAAGAACACATGCATTTTTACAGGCAATATCTAAATGTTATTTCCCTATAGAAGCTATAAAAGCTTAGAAAGAAACACATTACAGTGCCATAAAAGTCTTCTGGAGTAAACAATTGTTTAGATATTGCTTGTCAAAACTACTGGATAAGAATGATATCGTTAAGCAACAGTGGTGAAAATTAATGAGGGTATAAGCTGTCATTATGAGAAGTATCCTGGCGATAGTGGGTCATGTAATCTATAACAGTGTATTAGACATCCAATGTTGAGAACAAATGAATCCGAAGATATGTCAATATTTAATAAGACTGTACTGCCTACAGATGGCAAGTGAATCCAGAGTTAAGTAAGGGGATGACGTTGAGGGGAAATCCGGGTTTGGTATTTCATGGTGTAATGTAAAGTGTGGCAAGTTGTTTAGGTCTATAACGTTTTAAGCGGAGTCTTTTAAACAAATAAAACCAGGGGTGCCATTCAGTTCAGCTGCTGCTGTTATATTATGGCGGAGAATATAATAGGATTCGCCACCAAACTATCTAACAAGGGCTCAGGGTTGGCGCGTCCTGCGAAGTCACTTCCGGTTAGCTTCGTTTCCGGGCGAGTGGTCGTCAGGACTAGAAGAACTTGCATGTTTGGATGCAAACGGCATTTAATATCAACATTTCTAGTTGCCCTGCCGGTTGAAGCTATGAATTTAGGAGAGGATGCAGTCTGGGTTGAACTGTCCAACTCCTGGTGGTTTTGCATCCATAGGTGGTAAAAGACGATAGTTCTCACTTGTCGAATAGAAGCTCGAAGTGTGTCTCGCACTCTGTGTTGGCATGATCCATCATAATCTGGATATCGGATGAAAAAGAGAAACATAGAGGAATGAGAAGTGAAGTTAATTGTCGTAGAATTTGGGGAAGCAATATTGAAGACTAGAGTATCTAAGGAGGAGGCTGGGAGTAGGGGGCTATGTAGTTCCATATTTCACTTATGGAATACGTTTGAAGTTTTACGTAGTACACTTCTGACGTCCCAGTTTGTAAAAGATGAAGGGGAGGCAGACCCGTCTGATAGGCAAAGGAGTAGTCCCTAAAGACGAATTCCGTAGAGGTGCTCCCAGCATCAGCGTTCGACGCACTTCGGATGCACTGTAGAATTGGAGGCTGAGCACCGTCCACCGGGGTATGTTTGCTACTGAAAGGGAAGCTTCAAGTTGTCGACGGAAACGTTCCACCATGTTGTTTTCCTGTGGGTGGTATGGTGTCATTCGGAACCAACGACAGCCTAAAAATGTGAATAAAGTGTAGAATAATCCACACCCTAATTGGCACCCATGGTCTATTGTTACGTAAGATGTACATACGCAGTTTGCCACCCGTCTTTCAATGAAAACACGAGCGACAGCTCCTACAGTAATATTCTTAATAGACGCTGTTTCTGGCCATCTCTTAAAATGATCCACCCAGGTGTACAGATAAGTGCATCCGTTAGATTCTGGTAGAGGTCCTACAATATCCGCGGCTTGAAAGAGCCCAAAGGGCTTCTCGCGTGTTGTGTAGCCTTAAACTTTTGACAAGCTACGCACGATTGAGCCCACCCTTCAACTTCTTTTGTTCATGCACGGCCAGCACAAACGCTGTGAGATAAGCCTTATTGTGGCTGGTACACCTGGACAGGACAGTTTGCGCGACCCAATGAAGACGTCACGTCAACACATCTTCGGAACTATTGGGCGTGGCTAACTGAGAGAGAGGTCGCATAATACTGTATCCTTACCTGACCATTCTGGGCACAGTTGTGGCTTGAGAGTCGTGGATGACGACTTGAGAATAAGCACGACACCTTCTTGAAATAGAGAGAATGCAACAAGATAAACGCCTCTCATACGGTTTATTGAAGCTGTTCGATTTGTGGCAGATATCCGACGTGAACTGGGAAATGTAATCCAGTTGTCACAATTCACAAGTGGAGTATTTGTCAGCTGGATGTCGAAAATGACCTACAGGACAGTACGTAGCTAGAAGTCCCCTGCTAAATGCAGTACATCTTGTTTCCACCTCCTTTAGCCAGGCCAAGATAAAGGTTAAGGTCCCCCACTGGTTGTCAGTCAGCTGCTTCAAAACCGCTTCGATTACTGAGCAAGGTGCATCGACTGCGATGCTCAAAGAGGAGGTGGGGTCGTGATGTGTAGGCATGGTTGCATTTGAGATGGCTTCCTTGACGTGAGAGAAAGTAACCCTAGTCATGTTGTCCGGAGTTGCGCACTTCATAGACCCTCGAAGTAGATCCGTAGACGGCTCATGAATGGGCACAGCTGTAAGTAAGCCACCGTTAGTGACCTACCAAGCCGTCAGAAGCGCTAAGCTTATTTACAGTGGCCGGCTCTGAGTAGTTCATGATAACCCCGACCTTAGTTGTCGATGGGTGTATACCATCTCTGTTAATGGTACGCCAAAGGAAGCCAAGTGGTTCGACTCCTACTTTACATTTCTGCATGCTAGCTGTAGTGCCGTGTTTTCTCACTCTGCCGAATCCGAAGTCTAAACGTTTGTGGCAAGTTTCCTCATCCGGACTCCCAATGAGAATGTCACCGATATATGCGTGGACGAAACCGAAACCAAGGAAGACATCATCCATAAGGCACTGGAATGTTTGCGTAGCGTCCTGAAAACCAAACGGCATGCATAGAAATTCAGACAGTTCAAAAGGAGTAATAATGGCTGCCTTCACGATTTCTCTTGCCCCCACTGTCAGCGTTCTCAACTCCGGTTACTTGTTTATCACCGTTTAGTAAGGCGAGTCAAACATATGTTTCGTTCTAACTATGGCTAAACTTGGACCTGCGTAGACAATTCTGTAAATAGATAACTTCATGTTGTTGTCTATCAGTCGTCAACGTCAGGCATCTATGAGTGGGTCGTAATGGTTCGGTAAAACCATGCCAATTACAGATATGGAAATATCAGCTAAGCTAAATGTCCAGCGAATGAGTTCGCGAAAACCTGGGTTGGTGTAGGAATACCCTTTTCCTTGGATTATAATCCCCTTGCCTTTGGCCGTTTGCGGATGGAAGGGTGGTTCATGATCACGTTTGGTTCTTCTCGCGGAAACAACGCTAACTTCTGCGCCAGTACTGAAGTGGCAGCGAAATCTCGTTTC